TTTTTTTTTTTGTGTGTGTGTGCTTTGCCAGTTCTGGTCTTTTCCAGAACTGGGTGTGTGTTGTGTGTCTTACTTCCAGTGTCGGCTATTAAAGTCCGACACTGGCTAAATAGGACCATAGGATTTTTGTGTGTGTTGCCAGCTCTGGTCTTTTCCAGAACTGGGTGTGTGTTGTGGATGAGTAGCTGGAAACGCCACCCTCCAAGGTGTTGTGTCATGAAGCCTGTGTAGCCTGTCAGTCAAAGAGTGGTTGGATGTGGTTGGCCTGACGCAAAACTTGTAGAAATTCGTCGTGAGCGGCTGTTTCTCTATGTTTCATTGCTCGTTGTCGATGTTTGCAGATGCCCGCAGCATTGGGAAGCTACAGACTCACTGTAGGCCCGTTGTCCGTGGAGCAATGAGTGATCCGCCAGAAGGAGCCCCGTTGCAGTGCCATGTCGCATCGTGTACAGAAAAGATGCAGACGCCGAAATGGAACCCAAAGTATGGCGTTTGGGTTGCTGTGTGTGAGCTTTGGCTGCGAGAGAAAGATTCTGGACGGGGCTTCGTTTCCAGAATGTTCTAACAGTCAACAGGCTCCAGAACTCCAGAACCTGTAAAAAGATTTTGTAAGTATATGAAAGTTGATCTAAACAGAGCATACATTTTTGAGAATAGAGACAGCGTGAAAGAGCCACAAAAACAAAACCAAGAGTTGCATATTGCTCAGTTGTGCCCAGGAACGGGTGCACATAGGCCCGAGTGGGCAAGTCAAGGCATCCCATCACTGCGTGGTCCAGTTTCCCGTTTGCATTTGTTCTGGCGGCTAGGGGTGGAATTTGTCCTGTGTCTTGCATCCTATTGAGCAGTGATATGCTGCTGAGTTGGGAGAACACATGGCATCGCTCTACTTGCTTGTCAAAATTGATGGCACAACTGGTGCAAGCAGCTTGGATGAACTCAGCGAATTTCAGGGAAGACGGGATAAGACGGGCTCGCTCAGATATGCTCAGAAATTTGCTGTTGGCACAAGTCAGCAGAGGCAGAAAAGGAAAAGGATAACGCAGAATTCAAGGTCAGAAATACATAGAAATACTTGTCAATTTATTTCAAAGGTGGTTGAGTACATTTGGGCTTGCAGAATATTTATGTGCTGAGGCAGAAAAGACAGAGGTCCACAACAAAGTGGAGGCCAGAAAGCTTCTGCAATTTATTGCATAGGTGGTTGAGTACCTTTGGACGTTCAATATATTTTTTGGTTTGAGGAATCGCGTGGGTACACGTATGTCATGTGCGCATGTTCCCGAAGCAGTTTGTGACCTGACGTGCGCTGTCGTGTCCTTTGCATCGCCTGCCTCCAACCCCGGCGCAATGGTATTTTGGCGTGTGCTTTGCATCTTCCCTGCCTTGAGCGTTGCCATGCCGAAAAAGAAGATGACAGATACTGTGTCCCTGGCTGGGGTCTTAGCAGATCTCATAAGATTTCAGTATTCTTGGAAATTCAAAAAGATTGTTGAGGATCCAAAAGAAAACCAAAAAGATCCAAAAAGAATCAAAAGGAAGCCAACAGAAACTAAAAAGTAAATTAACAGGAAAGTTGCGAAGATGTTTGTGTTCTGCTCTGCTATGGGTGAGTGAGGTGGCTCCGGAGCGTTGGTATCGCGCGCAAGATGACTTTGACTACTGGGTCTCCTTCGCACGTGCGTATCAGGGCTGGGTTCCCGGAGCAGTTTACAGACTTATACATGTAGGCATACGATGGCATACGGATATAGATATAGAAGATGGAGAAGTGTTGCAGGCTTTCAGTTTTGATTCATTGAGGTCCTGCAGATTGTGAATGCTTCGACCTCTTTTCGGCATCGGGTAGGCTGGCAGAGAGCTTTCGTAGGCTGGGGTACAGAGCGCTAAACTACGACATAGTGACCGGTGGCCTGCAAGAGGATGCAAGCACCGAACAAGGCTTCATGCAGATGCTTCTCAAGGCACTGCGTTTGTTGCCACATTCCCTGCTTTGGGCGGGCCCTCCCTGCTCAATGTTCATATTTCTTGGCTCCTCCCAACACCTTCGACACCTTTTTGGACCAGAAGGGGCGCCCTGGGACAGAGCTACAAGGCTTGCTAACATCATAGCTTGCAACATGGTCACCCGAAGGCAGTTGGACTCATTATCAGCGTATTGATTTTGTGGAGTGTCTAGTAGCCTTCAAGGATCTTACATGATCTTACTGTCTTTAGGTGACCTTGCTCTTCATCATCAAAGAGGTTCGCAATCCGTGGGTTGTGATTGAGCAGCCGAAGGGAAGCTGGATGCTAAAACTTCCTCCTGTGGTCCAGTTGAAGAATGCACTGGGGATGATGCGGGTTCTCACCTACCAGTGCTTTTGGGTTTCTAGGCATTTTGACTGTTTTTGTTGAAGAACGATATCTAAATTTGCGAGTCATTGCGAGTCAAGCTATGTGAAGTTTGCACAAACTTGGCTGCAATCTGAGGGTCATCAACTGGAGAAGGCTACGTGGTTGCTTGGCGATCTTCCTACACTCAATTCTTTGCAACGGACCTTGACAATGGAGAAACGTCATAAATACTCGGAGAAGCGAAACAACAAGAAATATGAACCAATGTATGTGAAGGGTGAAGACGGCACTGTGCACGGTTTACCAGCTCTTGCGAAGAGCGCAGTGTATCCAAAACGTTTTTGCAACGCTATTGCCAAAGCCTGGGAAAAGGCCAGGTCTGCTGCGTACGTTCCGACAATGGCGGAGAGATGTGCGCACAAGCGCAAGGCAGACGATCAAGACAATTGATGCGTCTGTGTCTCCATGTTTAGCAATCTTTGGCGCAACTGCCTGTTGAATAAGATGTTTGTGGCCAACGGTCGCATAGTAGTTCTCATTGGAGCAGCCCGCGCTAGATGAAATTGAGATGTTGAGATGGTTTGGGAATTGGAAGTTGCAAGCTTGCAAGACCTTGCAGGTTGAAATGTTCACCTTGTTTTTGACAGGAAAACCTAATATAGCGCTGGGGCTGTTCACTGGACAGGAGAAGCTAGAACCGCCTGTGCCTGAAGAAGAACAAGCTGGACAACAGGAGCAGAAGTTTAGAATTTAGAGAAAGCTGGGTGGATCTTGTCTTGGTAGATTTGGCATACTTGCGCAGAACGTTGCCTGTTGCAGGGGACAAGTGGCATTTTGCCACATGGGTCGCAACCTATGAAGATTGAGCAGGAGGGAACACGAAACACCCCTAGAACTATATAACGAAATAACATAAAATGAACTATATTTGTTCCATTTCATGTCAGATTCTCTTTGACCCAGCAATATTAAGCAGAAATTATTTTGTGGGTGGTGAGCACCCCTCAGACAGGAAAAATAATATAGTGCAGGGGCTGTTCTGTTCACTGGACAGG